GGGTTTTTGCCCTAAATACATAAAAATACCAAAAATTAATTGATTTCATTTTTGCTTATTTGATACATGATAAATACTTCTTACATACATGTGAAAAACCTTTTTTTGTATTTTGCATATTTATCTTATTTTTATTTGAATATTGTGTAAATAAATACCCTTGCAAAATTCCAAGTTTGATGTAATAGTCTAGGGTTTTAATTCTTGTCAAAATACCCCCATTTGAACATTTGTACCCCCCTTCCCATATATTGTGTTGTAATAACTTAGGAACTTTATTTTTCGCACTTTAAAGCTTTCTAATTATGCCATGTTAGAATTAGGGTTTGTATGCAAATCAATTAACCAAAAATAGTTTGACCTAAATTCAAGATAAACAAGCATGAAAATGGACAACACCAATCACACTTGCACCCCTAGGGTATTCCACTTGTTGCCTTCAATAATGGGCCATATTGCATGTTAGGTCTCTTTGGGCAAAACAAAACAATTCAAATGATCATAGTCCCTCGATGACGCTTTCGAAAGTTGCCTTAAAAATGATCAAGTCCCTTAAAGGAAAAATTGCCCAAAGATACTTGGCACCATTGCAATTATGGTCTAAACGATGACCCACACCCGTCCCTTTCACATCCTAACACAAGATTGTCCACCAAATACAATGGTGGAACAAAATTGTTAAAAAGGTTAAAACATAGCAAAGATCTTTGAGAAATTTAGGGTAGATAGCTCTTGGTTACTTGCCAACTTGCAAAACAAAACACTTGCCTATTTTTCAAACCACACATCACTACACTTTCAAAACAACTTTCAAAAACAATGAAAACCTTTTCAAAAGACATACACCTTTGTATACATCCCAACATGGATCATTACAAAGGTTGCCACCACATTGGCCTCTTTTCAAAACATTTTTCAAACTCACACACACAAAGCACCATTTCAAACAATTGAAAATTAAGGCAAGTTGATCTAAGCAAGTAACTAAGAGCCCATGGATAACCATGGATAGAAAGGATGTTAATACCTTCCCTTTCTATAATCTACTTCCCGAACCCAAGAAAACATCTCAAAGGTTTTTGCTGTGCTTTTTAACCTTTCCTTTGGATAAAATAAAAAGTCGGTGGCGACTCTTGCTCAACCAAAACATTTGCGAAAACAAACGCAAAACCTCAAGTCAGTTCTCCCACCGTATCACAATCTCGTACATGGGAAAGGTGTCCTGTGTAAACTCCAAGCAGATGCGGGCATCCCTCGTCAGCCTCATGATCTTAACGTTTCTCCAAAATCCCTCCTAGCCGCCGCCATACTCGATGACAGTGTAAGCTTGTCTACCGGTATGGCTATAGATCGAAATTATTCCACGAGGTTCCACACCAACCCAGTCTAGAGTAGGGTCGTCAATGGTGTCGACCAGATTCATGCTTTCGTTGGTAGTGCTTGTTTCCTCGGTATCGTTACGCTCCGAGAAGTCATGAATATCAGCCATTTACCTGCAAATTATAGGAAACCGGTGAATTCGATAGCAAATCCGCTTTTCCGCTACACAGACAGGGAGAAGTAAGCAACACTCGGACCGAGTCAACATCCATTCGCATGAAAGACGGGGAACACGTGGACCTCGACCAAACACCAACCTTAACAGCAGACGTATATCAATCATAAATGTCACGAGCATAGCATGAATATCGCGAGCAAAGGATGAATTTCACGACCAAGCTCATAACATTGCTAGCCAGATACAAGAATACCACGGGGAAAACTAGCCTACATACTAACGAAAGGATGAATCCCCCAACCAAGTTCATAAATCTATTAGCCAAACACATGAATATCACGGGCACGATCATAAACCGTATGCCTAAACCTATGAATGTCGCGAGCGTGATCACGAATCAGACGCCTAGAGTGCTTGAATTTCCTGGGCACAATCCCCAGACACGAAATTCTACCACTAAACACCATCAAAATCTATCTACAACATGAGATATCAAAGAAAAAGAACACTTACTTGGAAGAAGAGTGAGGAGCGACAATTATGGAGATGAACACACGGCAGACGGTGCGTCGGTCTCAGTAACACTAGGAAAACACACGGTGTTAAAGGAAAAGAAAATATGAGAACGTGAAAATGTGAAAACAAGTTATGGGCCCTGAAGCCTTATTTATAGAGATGACATGGAATATGAAACATTGCCTCGGGGAATCACAAACCGCCTTCATCCTCGACGCCTACTCACATAGACAAGGATGACCCCTACTCCCTAGGCCGCCATTGTGGTTTCCAAGAGCCACACCACGTGTCTGGCTAGTGTATCACCCCCTCCCCGCGAGTTCTCCTCGAACAATCCTCGACCGCTGCACGAAGCAAATCACGAACTGGCGCGATGTCTCATATCCACGATTGAAAAACCCTGTGTCGTGCAGCGAGTCTCGCGAAGGGGCGAACTTGAATCAAGTCATAACTCCCGTACCAGGAGCAACGACTTGGGGAAGCTCATGTTCTAGACTGGGCATGCCTTTAGCCCAACCACCAGTGAGGCCCAATCCAAGCTTGCCAACCTGCTGTGCTGAGCAGTATACCTACCGAGCACACCCCGATCATAATATCTAGTCGGCTATGATTGCTTCCCGCTGGTGCTCGCGAAGAACGTCCCCAACGAGCACGCGCTCCCTCCGAGCACCCTCCTCGTATGGATGGCTTTCAACCTCTCAGGATTTCATGGAGTCTTCGTGGTCCCGGAAAGATCGTGTCTTTATCCTCCCTGTCTTGCGGATGACGTCATCCAGGTAGGGGGCCACGTGCGGGTCCCCACTACACACGTAGAACCTGACAATCTCTTTGTGGGGCCTGTTTGATCAGCCAAATAAAGAGACCTTGTCCCAGTGCTGAGGGCTATAAATACCCTCTCTTTTGAGAGGGTCAGGTATTCATTCATTCACACCTAAATTCATACTTGCTTGCTCATTCTGCCTCTCACTTTTCCATCAGAGTGTCTTGCAGGTACCCCCCGATCTCCTTCAAACTCAGCCCGAAGTCAGCTGTGACGGTCCAACTCTGATCAGGTAAGATCACAAAGTATGTCTTCTTGGATTGAAACTAAAATGAAAAAATTAGTGTAAGAAATTAAGTCCTGAGGGATATAGATGAGTTTATCGATAAATATTTACCCGAAATTTACACTATTATAAATAGTTTCAGATGACTTCCATGATAATATGATCGAAAGTCACACTTGAATAAATTATACGAATATGCTATCACTAAAAATATATTCTTTCAATGTTTGTGGTGAATTTGGACACAAACATTTTAACTTGGGAGATACTGTCAAAATTTTGTAGAATCTATGTGAAAATAATGCACTTTAGATAGTCAAGTGCTCGTTTTGATATTGACATTGAAGAATGTCAAACGCTTATTTTTGTTCATATTTTTTCTGCATTCCTCCATGGTGGAAATTGAATTTACCTTTATATCATTTCCTTGTTGATTTCATATATGAAAATGAGTCGGGGTACATATTACTTCCCTATCTTTTTTTTCTTGTTGAGCCTAGAAAAGATGCGTCACTTTCAAACTCAATCGAATACGTTGTCATAGTCGTTATTCGGAGGGGTGAGTCTTTTTGACAATTTTAGATCTTTTTGATTAACTTTACCGTCTTTTTAGCCGTTTGATATGAACTTTCGTCACAACCAAGATGTTTTACTATATTTGCTCGTTGCATCCATGCTACATACATGAATTGCCACGTTCCACGTCTTTTGGATCCATTCACTCTGATTTCTCCTTTGTGACCAGAAACACTAAGGGTGGAATTTCCGTCTCCATTAACACATCTCTTAGTTAGTGACTTATTATGTAGGAACCTATTTTTCTAGAAGTCATGATTTCAATGACTCAGTCCATCTTATGATGGTTCGGACGTGACCCACATTCTAGTTATTGTTATGGTGGTTAAGTCTTGAGGTCTTAGTAATAGTGATCATCCTCCATACTGAAATTCAATGTTCTTGTGTATACTTACAAGACAAATCACCCGAGTAGGTGCTGTAATCATCCCATTACATGTTGTGATTTATTTATGTGGTGGTTTGATCTCCTTGTCTTCTCCATGTACTTTTTTTTTAATGTTTAGACACTTTAATAGACAACTAAAGTGAAGTATATTCAAATAACAAGTAGGGTATGGATTGAGTGATCATACCTGACAGATTGAGTGATCATACTTGAGAGTGAATCTCTTATTTATAAATTGACGGGACTTGTATCCGCTATTCGTTGTAATAATCTCTGAAATCATTAATGAATAATCATTGTGTTGTCATTATAACCACCTAAGAAATAAACATCGACACTTATCTAATTTGAATATGTTATATGTAGTTAAAATATTTTGATGTCAGTGCTTTTAAATGTGATTTATTTAATCTTATACAATAATATGAGATAAATTATTGTTTCGTGTCATTTTTAAACATTGAGACAAACCCCCATAACTTTATATTTTGAAGAGATAAAATTTATTAATTTTATTGATAATGATCCATAATATATTTGAATTGAGTCACTTTTAGACACATATTATTACATATACTTTTTATGAAAGAAAATCTAAATGTAGAGAATTCACAAAAACTCAAACTAGATTAAGAAACTAATCATAAAATGAAATAGTCAAATTTAAATAAAAGGAAGCTGAAGAACGAAAAGAAATTTAAATATATTTTTATTAATTGAGTTTTTTATAAGTTGACATGAGGTGTAATTTGATGTTAGAGTGTGAAATTAGCATAAATCGAACATAAATTAACTAAAATTTGTGGATAGTTCACATTGGACTGAACCGGGTCGAACCGGATTGTGGTCACCCACAGTTTCACATCGGGAAAAGAGCGGGAAAAAAAGGGAGCCAAACGAAAAAGCACAAAGCCATTTAAACCCCGAAGTATAAATAGCAAATGAAAAAAACTTCGAAGATAATAGACACTAAAAAATGGCGGAAGGAAGCTCCAGCACCGATATCCAGAGAATACTCACCGCCATTAAATCCTCCGAGGCAAGTTTCTTCTTCTGATTCTCGTTTCTATTTTCTACCTATCAATTACTCTTTCATTCTGTTCTCACATTTTAGGGTTTCGCTCTTAATTTACACTTCGTTTTTCTTTTACGAATTCGTTGCAGGTTGTTGAGGATCGTATTCAATTGTTTACCGATCTAGGAATTTTGAACTTCAAGGACGTATCTGAGTTCGATCATGCTTCCATCATGAATTGCGTTGTAGTATCCTTTCTTCACTTCATCTTCTACAATTACTTGTTATGTTTACTTATATTTTACTGATTATTGTTAGATTAATTTATTCAATTAATTAATTATGTATATCGGCATAATCAAGTATTAGAAATTGTTATTAATATGTTAATTATGATAGATTATTATTAAATTTGTTAGTTAAGTAGCATCCATAGTTTATATATAGTTATGTAATTGTCTGCATTGTTGCTTGCTTCCACCTTAACTGCAAGCTTGGCCTATTGGGAAAATTACACATGTTTGGATGTTACCCAGTGCATGCTAAATAGAAGCATTCTACAGGTCGCTTTAAGAAATATAGATCTTAACCTACCTAGTTGTTTCCTTCAAATTCTCACTCTTGGAGTCAAGGTATTTCTTTAGTAGTGCGTTGTTTTTACTTTCTCTTTATTCATTTATACACGTTGACACACTTTCTTATGTCCTAACCTTTTCTCTGATTTTTGATAATGTAATATTGATGATTAGGCTAGTATATGGTGTGGCAAGCATCTGAAAATGACTCTTTTGTCGACAGAAGAATCTCAAGATGACGGACACAACTCTGTTTTTTACCAGGTAGGAGTTTTTTTTTAATCAATTTTGATCTCAAATAGTCCTTGAAAGGTTGTTATTCACATAAAAGCTTCTTACATGACCCCCTCCCCACCCACGCCCCACACAAACACACTCCCACATTATATGACTTGTAACACCGAAAACCTAATTCATTCAAGTAATATTACGGAACTATATCTATTATGTAGTTGCAAATCTAGGCATATTTTTAGCTAAATTTGTAACCAAACGTCTGTGTTCATCTTTTGTGATTTGCGTTTTCATTTCTCTTCTGTTACTACTTGTAGCTATCTAACATTGTATAAACTAAATGTAATAAATACCGTTCTACCAAAAACTGCATCAACTATTCAAATTATGAATTCTTGTAAAACTTTCCACATCTACACTTGCTTTTTTTTTCTGTCAAATGTTCTTTGCAAGCAATATAAACTAAAACATTAGTGTATAATTATATGTGATATTGTAAATTTGTTTGTCCTATATGCCATATACGTTTTACTCGACAACTGTTATATTGACAATGTTGTATAGAACAGAGTGTTGGATTGTAAAGAACCAACACAAAATTAAATTAAGTGTGCGTTTGGATTGGTGGTGGACATAATTGATTTTGACATAATTTAGTTAGGTAGAATTGATTTTAATAGAATTGAGTTTAGCAGAATTGATTTATGTTTGAATATATTTTTGTAAAAGTGAGTTGAACAACAAATTTCAGTGTAAAAATCACGTTTAAACTTAGAAGCTACAAATTCTAGTTTCAAGTAGAATCAATTCTGGAGGCAAAATCAATTCTACTTCAAAATAACCAAACACCTCGAAATCACTCAAGAATGAATTCTACACCTCTAGAATTGCTTTTGGCCATTTCAAAAGCCAATACAACAACATTAGAAAGAGTTGAGGTAACACCTATAGTAAAAAAATATAGTCGAAACTAGACTCTGGTGGTTTGGGTACGTAGAGAGAATACCTGTGAATTATTTAGTAACAATAGTAGATCGAATATATGGTAGTCAAACTGCTAGAGGTAGAAGAATACTTATAAATACTATAAGAGAATCTATTAAGAAAGATCTCGAGATTAATGAGGTAGATAGAAGTGTGATTTTGGATAGAACATTATGGCTTTGTTGATCCATGTAGCCGACTCCATTTTTGTGGGATAAGGCTTGATTGTTGTTGTATGTTTATGTATTTAATAAGGATAGTGCTTAGTTTTTTATATCAAAGCCCTATAATTTAAACAAAAAATAAACAAAAATGGTCCAAAGTGTGAACAAATTTTCTATCAAGGAATGTTATTTTGATGATATTGATTGATTTGAGAATTTTGCAAAGTCATTGAGGAATCTTCGAGTTTGTTGGTCTAAACATTAATTTTAGTGACATCATATTTTACCTGAGTTATTTATATATCTGCTGTGCAGCTTCTTTTGGAGATCCTTAGGTTTTCTTCATCAACTTTTTTAGCTTTGTTGAAATTCACCGATAATAGTAACAAGGAATTGATGGACAATGTTGAAACCTTCATTATAGAAGTGTTAAATTTAACTAAAGATTCTGTATCAGAAGCCAAGGTAATATGTTTCTTCCTGTTTATGTAACTTGGCAATATGAAGATATAATTTTTATTATTGTAGTTCTGTCAGATATTTTTTCCTTTTCATTTTTATCATCTCTTAATTATTTATTTCCATTTTCTACATTATTAATAGTGTTCAGCTTTGATAACAATTGCTTAAATATGAAGTTTGTACGTGGATACCTGATTGAATGGCAGTGTAATAAAACTGATTGAGAATCAAAATTGAACCCAATGATCTATCAGTCCTTTGACGCTCCTCTAATATTGACACTCGTGGTTTTCCAAAATTCAATGAAGTATTTGAATATTGAATGTTTGAATCTATCTTTTCAATATTCTTAGTTGTGTGACGCTCGATGGTAGTGAATGCTAGGTGACTTAGTATCAGTAAGAGCAAAAAACTACATTGATGAAATTTCTGCTGTTCATTTCATATTTACATTGCAAAATTTTGTATGTGCTGTTAAGCATGGTTTCTTTTTTATCCTAAGCAGAAAATTCAATCATTTGGATCAGAAATATTGAAGGTCTCACACATGGTCATTGATGTGGTTGTAAAACTATGCAAGGCACGTTTTGAATTAATAAACTGGGAGGCTTGTGATGAAAACCACAAACCTATTAATGTTTGCCATGCTATCAACATAACAAAATACACTATAGAAAAGCTGTCTCAAATCGGTGTTCTTGCTGCAAATGATGGTGGAAGTTTAGTCAATATTCTTAGTATCTCTTGGAAAGCCGTTGTTTCTTTGCTTCAAATTGGTGGGGGACATTTAACTAAAGTGAATATAGCAAATATAGTGGCATCTTTGCTTGCATTAATAACTGAGCCTTTTAAGTGTGCTGCTGAGGTTTGGTCATCATCACTGAATGAAACCATTTCTGTAACTGAAGCTAAAAGAATATTTGTCCCAGTGAAATTTTACCTGATTAATGCAGTTAAAATATGCTCACTGTATCCTCATCAGGCCTACATAATGTACAGGGAGATTACTCAATGTGTTCTCAGTATCACTTCTTTTTGGATTTTTGCAAGTAATGAAAATCTTCTGATAAATGCAACTGCAGTAATTGCAGAGTTATTGGAGGAAACAACCTTGGATCTGGTGGTGTCTTTGATAAATTCTGATAAACTAAAACTGGAACAGAAGCTTGAGTTAGTGGAATTGCTATTCATTAATAAAAGTGATTCTCATTCCGGCCTTGATGATGATCCAGCATTAGATGATTGTAACTTTACACTCATCAACAAAGTATTTGTAAGTAGTTGTGAAGGAATAGACAGATCAAGAGTACCAATACTTGGTCGAGTTGTATTGTTTATTAATTTCCTTAAATATTCTCTAAAGCTTGACGAAGATATGAAATTAGCAATTACTAAGAAGCTTAATTGGTTTTTGGAAATTTTAGTTGAGGAAAATGTATATTCTCGTATGCTTGTTTTGCAACTTCCTTTATGCTCTGGCTCTGGAAAAGCAGTTGAACTGGTGTGGCAGCCTATATTTTCTCTCCTCTTGCAAGCATTCAAAACCTTCATGATTGTGATCTCTTCAAGTACAGCTTGGGGGGAGTTGGAATCATTCTTACTAGAGAATTTCTTTCATCCTCACTTCCTTTGTTGGGAGATTGTGATGGAATGCTGGTGTTTCGTACTGCAACATGCTGAAACACAAATGGCAAACAACATTATTAACAAACTATGTTCATTACTTAAGCTGCTGGCATCCCCCGACTCGGTTTTCCTTCCTCATTCTTCCTTCAGGAAATTGACAAGATCAATTTGCTTGCTTCTAACCTGTTGCAAAAAACCAGTGGTTGACGAGGTGTTCATGTCTATTGTTGGTGATAGGAAATCACAGATGTCATTAATTTTGTGTTTGGCTCTGTTCATTGAAGGGTTTTCGCTTGATTTGCTTTCAGATGAATTGAGAAAAACTACCATTCAAAGAATTACATCTGATTATTTTGACTTAATCGACAGCTTTGATGAAGCTTCATTGATGGCATGTTCCTCTGGTTTGTTTGGGATTCCAGTTTTTATCCTTTCTGCTTCTTTGCAATCTTCTTTGCAATCACTGTAAGTATTTTGGCTCTGTTATATCAATTATTGTGTGGCTGTATATATATAACTTTATTTGCTATTAATTTCTGTCGATCATTCTATCATTGTTAATTGTAGTCTTCTTACAGCATGCCTTCACAATTCTTATGATCAGTTTGTCATAAATTTATTCTGCTTTTATTCAAAGATCCCTAAATCTTGGAAGCAAAAATCAGAATTGAGTTTAATGTCCCACTGGCATGTTTCAAACTGATTTGAATTTTTATTGATAGGCCTGGTTTGCATTCATTTAGACCCAATTCCTTTTATTCTTTCACAGAACAAGAATTATCATACTGATTCCAGCTCTAAAAATTGTGTTCCCATTTTCTGCAGCCAGGATAGACTACCAGAGATTGATGCAAGGACCTTAAAGTTTTTGATTTCAATTATTTCTATCTACAAAAGTACAGTAGACAAAGAAATAAAGGACCATTCTCTTTGGCTTTTTGGTGAAATTCTAGTAATCATTTCATATCTGAAACATCTGTACATGTCAAATGATATTGAACAGGCTATAATGGAGATTGAAAATATCTTTATCAGTGAGCCTCCAGCCCTTTTGTACAAATGTAAACCACATTTGGCTCGCTTCCTCACGGGATTTGTTGACATGGAGTTTTTAGAAAGTGATGACTCTGATGCAAAGAGCCGTGCTGCATGGAAATTATCTCACTTGATCTTGACCGAGCGGCACTGGGCATTCGCTCACTTGGCAATAGCCGCATTTGGACATTTTGCTGCTAACACAACTTGCACTCAGCTATGGCGATTTCTTCCACAGAATGCAGCACTTTCATATGACATAGTTTCAGGATTAGAGGCAACTAATGAGGGATTTATGGCTGAGCTTAAAGCATTTTATAGTAAGCAAATTGCTCTTCTGACAATCGCACCAAGTCCTGAACAGCTTGAGCTGCTACAAAGAGAAGGTCTTATACTAAAACAGATGGTTCATAACATTTCAGTCAGTGCTGAACAGAGAGAGGGATGTGAGGGCATGGAAATTGATGACAAGAACCAATCAAATAGCATGGAAGTTGATGACAAACACCAATCAAATAAAAAAAGGAAACTTCCGGATGGAATTAGCAAAGGAGTTGAATTGCTGAAAAGTGGTTTGAAGATTATTAGTGATGGCCTTCTAGAGTGGCAGCTTAATCAATTTGAAAGCAATGAACTGCATGTCAAATATTCCACTCAGTTTTCTCAACTTGAAGATGCAATTATGCACTTTGATGAATTGGCTGGGAGTGGTGAGGTATGTTTATCTCCTATTCAAAACAATTTGCGAGGTTGATTACCCTTTGATGCATGTTTTATTGTAAAGAAATCTGACACCAACAAAACCTACTGTATCATTATGAAGTGTCAAATGTTCAGCAAAATTTAAATCCCTCTTACATTATAGTGATTTAGTTCATTAACTAGATGTTTAAATTAAGTGCACACATTAAAAAAATAAAGAACAAATATTTTGTTGGACTAAACGTTCTTGTTTAAGCTCTTATTAATGTCAATTAGTTAGACTTATGAAGTAATCTTGTGTACCAAATACCTCAGTTTTGGTGGAAAACAAAACTATAAGGTAGGAATCAATTTATCTATAACTTTATTAGACGCGTGGTGGTGCATAAAACAAAGGAAACTATTTTAATCGTTGATTATTCACGGACAAAGACAACATAAAGAAATGCACATGACGATACCAAGGCTTTGTATTATTGTATAGAAGCCATCATTTCCTTGCCAACATTTTTTCAAGAAAAGGCTTTAAAAAAACCACCGATTTCTCTTGACCAGGGGTGTTTTCTTTAATGACTGGAACATCCTTGATATTAGTAAACCATAATTTCAAGCGAGGGAACCTCTCACTTTGCAAAATCTTCACTTCAAACATATCCTCCTGGACCTCAATAAATTTGACAAAAGATCCAAGAGCTATGTCTACAATGTTAATGGTGTCTCCCCCATAGAATTTCTTCTCATCTCAGACACTGATCTTAACAACTCTGAGTCTCTCCCATATAATCTCTTTTGCCTTCTCTCGCTCTTCACCACTTCTGCCAAGAAAGTGCGCCGCAATGCCTGAAATCTTTAAATATTGATAAAGATATTATTGTTCGTTTGAATCAAAGATGGGATAGTAAGACCATATATTAAGGTAAAATAAATTATTATAGATTATAATCAGAACATATATTGTTCAAGTATAGAAATATGATGATTAAGCATTGAAAAATGGTACCATGTCATCCACATATTTAACCCAAAACCGGGCTTGAGCTCTGTCATAAGAATCATCAGGAAGCAATGAGTTGTGTGTCCATATCTCATCAATGTATTCAACAATGAGCATGGACTCACATATGGGTTTTCCATCATGAACTAGCACTGGAGTCTTTTTGTATATGGATTATATTGAAGAAGTTGAGGACTCTTATTGAAACAATGCACAACAAAATTATGGTCCATACTACATTTATACTTAATAGAAATAAGCTCAAACTCATTTAGACGGGATTCAATAAGAAAGAGAAGAGAGGGATTTTCCAAACGGATGTGCCTTGACAAGGCTCGAAATGCCTGAGGATTCCCCAAACCCAGGAAGTTTCAACTGATTATTTTCATTATTTTAGGCGGTGTTGGCTTTCCAACACCACCTCTGGCGACTTGTCTTCTCCGTGTACACCATTGTTACTTTGTTTCCTCTTTTTCTCACCACTCCCACAATCTTCAATCATCTCATCCCTATCATCACATCAACTAGTTGCCTCTTGGAGCTTCCCATACCTTTGATCAGATTGTTCATCTTTTTTGTTTGTCCCTTCTTCCTAGTCCATTTCTTCTTTTGTACCTCCTTTGGTTCGTATTGATGTTGCCTCCCAATTTTTCTAATGAAATTGCCACGACCCTTAAGGATTCCGCAACAGTTTCCACATAAATTCTCCTTTCTCCCCCCTCTTGAGTATTCAACCGATCTTTTTCCTTATGTGTTTCTTGTTGATTGGTTTGTTGAACCTCTTGTTCTCCTGTATTCTCCTTCTCTTTTGTCTCACATGTTCTATCCTGAAGAAAGGTTGAATAAATTTTTACTGCAATTTCCTGAGCTGGAATCCCTTTTCTTCTGATCCTCCATAACTTTGGGTAAGGGTGACGCCCTCAGCCATTGTCCAAAAGATAGTTCACATTCCTCTATGTCTTCAAATCCATCTTCGTTTAGATCTTCCAGCGCCTCACAATATTTGAGCTGGTGCCCAATTCTGCCACAAACAAAGCAAAAAGTAGGCAACCTTGTTGTATCAATTCATCAGCATTTTGGTTCCTATTCACCATAATCACTCCTTGATCGATTTCTCTAGGGATTAATGGGGGATTTCGAGGTATTTCATCCCTAGGTTGTTCTATTCCTACTCTAGGGATCTGTGGATTTTGATTAACGGTTAAATCTTCTTTCACGATTACCCCTTGGTTTACTCTTATTGGTATTCTTTGGGGTTGTCGAATAGTTTGGGGTACCCCAAAGAATTCAACCATGCGCGTAATTTGCGCTGACATTTGTTGATTCGATTGGGTAGTATTTTGTATTAGGGGGTTCAGCACTGTACTTAGGGTTTGTGCCAACATTTGCACCATATCATGGTTGCTTTCGTCCATCTGTTGCCTCAGAATTATTGTAGAAGTATTTGTGAGGCTTGGTAATTCATGTGATGGTCCTCCTAAAATTTGGTTTCTACCCAAATTTGCCATACTGGCTCCAGATCCCTGTAATGGTGATGATGCACTCACCAAAGGTTCTGAAAAAGTAGACACAACGTTCATGAGGCTAGCCATTTCAGTGGTTGGCATGCCATATGGCTACTCTCGACCCATCCAAGCTGTCGAGAATCCTGGGGGAACATACGGTCGAGATCCTGGATTTGCCCTTGGTGGGGGTGTTCCTAATAGACCTCTAGGACCTACATACGAAAGTAAGGGTCCTGTTTGATTCGTGGTTAACGCTGGTACCGAACCAATAGAAGTTGAGATATTTTCGCCAACGGTAGTTATAACCGTTGTTCCAGTAGTATTTGGTGGAGGTATTTCTCCATGATTTGGCTCATTAGCCATTCTACTTTCGCTATTTCTCTTCCTAACAGTACACTCGTTGGTTATTCTACCACTTCTTAATAACATGCAACGCTGTATACTTATAAAAGGAAAGCAATAACATGAACAAATAGATGATAAAAACTAGCAACGTCCCACTGGGCGTGTCAATTTGTTTACCGTGGTTTTTGATAAACAACCGCTGATCCTCCAAAAAGGAAAGTCCTTTTGGTTACTCGCGGGATCGATCAGATTGATCCCAGAACATATGCTAATTTTTATGCTGATTTGATGTGAAAGTTGATATCTAGGAAGAACGCACGTTCGACCAAGGATATTGTGTTTATGGTTTTGGAAAGTAAGAAAGTAACTAGAAGCGCAGGTAAAGATGTAGAAATGTAAACTTTGCAAAAGAAGATCAAAGTAAAGTAAAAAGACTTTATTAATATAAAATGGTGTTTCCAACGTACATTCTCAGTTATTCTTTCACACACATCGGGTACTTAAATAATATTGAGTAACTAGCACAATAGGTTGAACACCCAGAAACTCTACACAAACTTTCTAGTTTTATACTAAAATTATGTAATTGTCGAGGGTGACTTTGCTTCTAGGATGAAGACAAGTGTCTTCTGCATGTCCCTCGACCTCTATCTTCCTGCCAAGTTGTTTTCTTTTAACTGCTGGCGAACTGCATTTCCCTCCAATCTTCAAATTCAAATATCCTTCGCCTTTGGTGCTGACATGAAGGTTTGTTCTTATAGTCGAAGGCCACAAGACCTTTCCCGTCGAAGACTTGATGGTGATGTCTGGTTGAAGACCAATTTGTAACTCATATATTTTCTATAAGTTTTTTCCATCCGTCGAAGCATTTTCCAACTTGGCTTTATCTGCTCTATTTTTGGTCCATGGGGCCAATATATAGTAGGTGTCAATTTCAAGAGCCAACAACTACACGACTAACAAAAGACATGAGAAGAGATTCAAAAAATGAAACAGGAAAGACAAGATCCTAGAGCCACTTACCAAATATTTTCTTCCTTTCCTCCTTTGAGTTAGCATCCACCAGCCACCAGGTTTGTATGCACCTTTTCAACTAGTTTCTAAACGCCATATCAGATGAAACAACTCCACCAATGTAACCAGGTTACTAACATAAGTCCACCAACTAAGTTTTCAAGTATAATTTCTCTTGTGTCAGACCCCCTCCCAATAACGATACATTCACGCTCTTGTCTAGTGGTGGCTTTAAGTCAAAAATTTGTGAAATAAATTTGTGCATGCGAGAGAAGGACCAGACTCTAATTAACAGATATTCACACGTGCTTCCCGACTGAAAGGAGTGACCAAGAAGAAGAAATCCTTGAAAATTTTCATACTATTACAGTAAGCCTCAACATATAAAATGGTTTGCCTTAGAGAAAACAGATTGGAACCACTCGCGTGGTTAGGTTTATTTTTCATTTTCAAAAGGTGGAAGAACAATGTCATTATTGTATTCACACCAGTGATGCAAAACCTTTACAGATGCACAACTCATTGAATGTAATTGGGAAAGAGCTATAAGAAGATGGCCAAATATGCCTACCTCAAACTCGTTGAAAGTAAGGCGATAACCAATGAGAGAGAACAAGCATTCATAGAAAGAAATCACACACCCATTGTATTTACTGCAAATCCTCTTATCTTCATTAAGGGGGAAATACTCCAAAATCACCCACTAGACTCATGTCACTCACTGTTTGGTGAAAAATGTCTCCACGAACAAAAGCGGAAACAATCTCTAACATCTTTGGATCCATCTAATCCAACGAAATATCCTGTATAGTGTAGCAAGCAAACAAGTTCAAGTACTCACTATCCTAGAAACCCTAAAAGAAATGGAATGAAGGAAAAAGTAAGAAATTAAACATTAGAACTCAAGAAGAAAAACAATCAAACATGAAATACCACAACTAATGAGTGAAATCTTCTGAGCTTGATCCCACGCTTGAACAAAACACTTCTAAAAAGGACCGATAAAAAAGCAAAAAACATTTTTCCTTGCAAGTCAAAAGGGAAAAATGACAGCTTCTCAAGTCTTTTATACCCTCTTTGAGCACTGAGGATCGTACGATTACTTCACACTATCAACGATGGAGATTGACCTGAAACGATTAGAAAAGCCCCCAAGTATCCTAAAGGTGTTGGAAACTCACCAAAGTCTATGATGAATTTCTACCACAATGACAATTTAATTATGAGACAAACAAAGAAAAGAAGACAAGACAAATAATTTCTAGAGTTTCTCTCTGCTCACAAACTGTGAAAACTTTGTTATTCACTTGCAACTGCAAATTCTGTGAATACAACTTAATTGACTTTCTTACAAAAAATAGGGGTTACTCCATCTATTTATAACTGAGCTTACGCCCTAAGCCCAAATCCCAAAATATCTATTTTGTTACTAAATCAAATCTAATCTATTCTAGACTTAAATCAAATCTATTTAAATCTAAAACAAATCAAATCTTTTCGACACTATGAATTACAATTTAACAAAAGGAAAGAGAAACATCCTTACAGACTAGAATAAGGGGACATGTTAATCATTCCCAACATCACGTTGCATCATACAAGAAATACATTTAATGTGTTTGTTCCCAAGAGCGACGACATCCCATCAAAGACCTCCATGCCCATGGATTTCATGGTCGTGTAAAGACACATGTCGCAAACCCTCGCCTTACAAAGTAGAGACAAGAGTTTGAGAGGCAACTGTTTCGAGTTGCCTATAAGACGGCGCGAAAGTCCAATAACGATGAAGGATAAGATTTTGCACATAACACGTGGGATCATTTTCCCCACCAAGCAGAAAATCTCTCCTGCGAGCACTATCCTAGCCGTTCAGACTGATCTGAAAACTAACCGCATTTTACGCCTCATCACACATGTTCACTTGCTAACCAATTCTTTTATTTAAAGAAAAGATCGCAACATTTCACAGATAATCAAATCCTTCCGCATTAAAATTTCAATTTTCACACTCTTACTAACTTATACCTTGAAGTATTAACCTTACAGATCAATCTCCTCTCTACTGCATCAGATACTTTGAACGACTATAATAGAGCATAAATTCATCCTCTCTTATCAAATTTAGTTCTTTTACTCAGAGTTTAATATAAGTGCACACATTAAAAAATAATGAATAAATATTTAGTTGGACTCTAACAATATTGTTTAAGCTGTTAATAATGACAATTAGTTAGACTTATGAAGTAATCTTATGTACCAAATACCTCAATTTTAGTGGAAAAGAAAAGTCTAAGGCACATACTCTTAATATTAAAAGAAAGGAAGCCATTTTAATCTTTTATTATCCATTTGCAAAAAGACAACAAAAAGAAATACACATGACGAGATGACCCATGATGATATATGCTTTGTATATATCAATTCAAAGAAGCCATCCTTTCCTTTGCCATGATTTTTTCAATAAGAGGCTTTAAAAAAGCCACCAATTTCTCTTGACCAGGGGTGCTTTCTTTAATGATTGGAACATCCTTGAAATTAGTAAACCATAATTTCAAACGAGGGAACCTCTCACTTTGCAAGATCTTCACTTCAAACATATCCTCCTGAACTTCAATAAATTTGACAAAAGATCCAAGAGATATGTCTACAATGTTAATGGTGTCTCCCCCATTGAATTTCTTCTCATCTCCCAAACACTTATCCTCAACAACTCCTAGCCGCTCCCATATAATCTCTTTTGCCTTCTCTCGCTCTTCATCACTTCTGCTACGAAAGTGTGCCGCAATTCCTGAAAACTATAATTATTGATCAAGATAATATTGTTAGTTTGAATCAAGATGGGATAGTTACTGCATGTATTAAGCTTTGAAAAAGGTACCATTTCATCAACATATTTGACCCAAAATCTAGCTTGAGCTTTGTCATAGGGATCAGCAGGAAGCAATGAGTTATGTGGCCATATCTCATCAATGTACTCAACAATGAGCATAGACTCACATATGGGTTTTCCATCATGAACTAGCACTGGAGTCTTTTTGTATACTGGATTATATTGAAGAAGTTGAGGACTCTTATTGAAACGATCTTCTTCTATGTGCTCATATGGTATACCTTTCAGATTTAGTGCCCATATTACCCTAAAACTAAAAGGACTATACCAAAATCCATGCAGTTTCACATCTGCCATCTTAGTTTATGTTTTCATAATCCAAGACTAACCCTTTTATACATGGTGATTCATGGAATCATTTGGTTTGTTCAACAAGTCAAATTAAAAAAAAATTAAGTAGAGTGCGTTTTGTTATTTGCTACATCTGACAGAGTAACAGTCAGACTTAACTACCATCATGTGACATTATATTTTATTATTACAAAAATGTATGTGTTTTCTTCCTCCTCACCAGCATTATTATTTTTTCATTTTGGTAACAATAATTACTTTTTAGTATCTTAATAATTGGTGTCGTAAGTGCTTGCGTCACTTATGAACATATCCAATAGTGGTTGATTAGATTAGAGATCTCATATTGGATTCATATCCTATAAGGAGATTTTTACATAGTCACGTTATATTTCCTCCGTCCTGTAATAAGCGATCTAGTTCATTATTTTATATAATATTAAAAAAAAAATATATCTAGTTGATTATTTTATATAATATTAAAAAAAATATAGAAAAGTAAGAGAGGATAATATTTTTATTATAGTATCTCTAATCATGTATTAAAAATGATGAAAGTTTAATTAATTAAAGGATAGAATTGAAAAAAGTATATTAGAAATTGAAATTGATCATTTATATTGAAATACTATTTTATTTCAAGTGGATCAATCATTATAGGACAGAGGGAGTATGTATATAAATATGTAATGAATCACATGGTAAAACATTGTGCAATTCTTTTTTTTAAGCAAGATATAATGGAAAGGAATACAAAAGATACTCGAACCTGATTACAAAAGTACGAGATAAAACTAGAGAAAGAGGAAATTACATAACCAACTGCACCTTGAGACAAGTAAAACAAAGAACAATTGTTAAACTCATAAAAGATACAATTGAAAAAGTAATTCCTCCGCAAAATCACCACCTCCTAACCGAAAACTTAACCTCCTGATCAATAACCAAAAAGCTCCACCCAACAATCTAAATCGATCAAAACACCCGACAAAGCAAATTCCACCTCTAATAAAAAACGATCCGATGATATTTTAACAATTTCAAATTCACCGTCCTTCCCACTCTCCTAGCTTTATCAGATTTCTCCAATTCATCGAATCTCTTCTTGTAATCCTTTAAAGAGTCCCCACCAAGATTAGAAATCGCCTTCCATAACTTTTCACCCATATTTGAATCGAGATTCTTTGCATTCACCTTTACTCCGCCTGAAAACCTATCCTCTGAACCGATTGAGTTAGAAGAATGTTATTTTCGAACTACAACCTGCCTATGATCATCAGTTTTATTAACACAAACTGATGATGATACTGCCACCGGCTCTTCCCTGCTGATTTCAAGATTTGTTTGATCTAATTCCATCGATTACGACATTCTCTTTTTTTCCCGCTTATGCTTAATGGATAAAGGACCTACCATATCATAAATTGATTTCATCTTGGTCCATCGGTTAACAACACCTAACTTCTTCCGAGCCGAGATATTTGGTTTAAAGAACGTGTCAACAGAGAAATTTATTAATGCAGCAGGAACTGCAGGATAATCCGAAAATTGAGAAATGGGATCATAAGAAATTAGAATTGAGCAGTTGCATTAAATTCCTTCGTTGCTGCACTAGCTTCATAAAAAATACTCAGGCCCTTCTGCATACTAGGCTTAAAATGACAGGCAGAATCAGATTCCACATTCACAGTTTTAGGCTTGATACCAGAGTCAATTTTTTTTTGCCTCATACTGTTGTTCCAAATATGTCAAATTACCTTTAATATCATCACTGAAAAGAGATTCCTCCATCAAAGATTCATTAAACTTTGCCTCCCCATTAACATCCCCGCCTTTATTCCAATCAACCTTAGAATCCGAAGATGAATCGACCATTTTAACTTCCTGCTTCGTCAAATTAAAGGAAATCCTCAAAGGATTGTGAGTGTCTTCTGTCAATCTAACCTTGAATAATTTCCCACATATCTCTACTTCAACAGTAACATTCAAAGAGAGAAACCCAATTGTCCTCACTAATATCATAGCAATATCCATATTCTTCGTCTTCATCATGTTTTCGTCGCAACAAACGAACGAGCCAATCGAATTAGCCAACCAAACAAAAAACTCAGAATTCCATACGTGGAAAGGTACCCCATAAACTCTAATCCATGTAGCTCTCTCATTATCAACATCCTCCTCCTTCCATTTATTAATTTTTGAGAACCACTAAGACCATCAACTATTTCCCTTATTAATGAGATCATTGATAACACCATCTTCGACTTCCTCTAATAAACACAAATTATCCCCGATAGACGTAACTTTGATTTGAAAATAGCCTTCAATCTCAAAACAGTTTTGAATGTTGTAAGCCATACTTGGGTTTACAACCTTCTCCATATAAGATTTCTTCAATCTGAAAAACGATTCTGGATCCGGATCAAAACTAAGTTTCATGCTCTCCTTCACCATTGAATCTACCGCTAGGGCCTCCGTATTGTTCACCACATCCAGAAAAGACCTATGGCCCCTCAAACCCCTAATTTTTTTTTTTTCTTTCTCCTTTCCTTTTCCATGCATTTCCTATTTAAAAACCCTAGTTTTATCGAACCTCCCTTCAATACTCGAATTTGGAGATTTCCTACCAAATTGAGGCTGATTTGTGTGAATCTTCTTCTCGTCTATGATGACAGTGTCAAGTTTAACTGCAAATAATCTCCCATCCTCTATCTCCACGAACCTCGCAAATCCAAAACATTTTCGAAACTTGTTCCTCTTGGGCGGAATCACCACCTCCACGATTTCACCGATGCAACCAAACAATTTAAACACATCCCCAACTCTGATCCTGTCTGGGATTTCCGAGAAAAAGAAAGAATGACCTTCCCTCCCAGAAACCCTTTTCACTGAAGAGCAAACATCCCACCTAGAAGCCACCTTCCTCAAACCTCTGCCACATACCTGATGCCAACTAACAGTAGATCAGCTAAACCCCCAAAGGAGATCTAGAGAGAAGGGTCTCTCTCTCTCTCTTCATTTTTACTTTTCTTTCATATATTAATTTTGTGCAATTCTATATCTCCTTTTTCTTTTATATATCAGTTGTTAGTGGCTGCGGAAAGAAAATAAATTTTTATTCTTATATTAAGTATTTTAAATGATATTTCTCAACAAATTCTATAAAATCTATTTCTTCATTGAATCTCATTTTGCTATGAAATTATGTAGGATACTTGTTTTTATGTGGTTCGGTCGTAGTCATGAGAATAGGTTGAAGCACGAGGTACAATAGCTCTTGGCGACTAGACGTTGTGCATTCAGTTACATTTAGTGATATTTTAGAGTGTTACATCCTTATGTAAAATTAGATGTACTAGAAGATCCACTTAGTCCATTTCATCATAAGATATTAGAGAAACAATAGGTTGGGACAGTTCATTTTGTTGATGTGTTGCCTAGATATGGATGTATTATGGATCTTGGGCAAGCCGATATAGAGACAAGAGTCTTTCCAAAAGGCTCTCCTGAAAGAGACACTCTAGATGTCATTCTCGTTAAGGCACAAACGACATTACATTTGTCGTAACGGGCAAAAAAATACGAGAGTCACCACCATTAATTTTTTATCCTAAGGATGAGAAATAAGGGATAAATCTAATTTACACAGAGATTCTAAATTCGTGAGTTGGTTAGATGAAGGAAAGGTGTTAGGGACCCTTCATCTCCCTTGTTCTTAAGGGGATCCTTTTTTAGGTCTGAGGGTAATATGGGAATTTCTACTTAGTTGTATTGTTTCCATGTATTTGAGAAAAGAATTTAATTTTTAATTGTGAACTCGCCTTGGTTTTAACTGTGTGCCTACGTATCTCCTTGTGAAGAATTAGAGTCCAAAGTCGTAGTTTGTATGTGTTTGGTTAGTTTTTTTTATGGATTGTAGAAATATTTTAGAATTATCCTTGGACCTTGTCTGGTTTTGAAAATAGTGTTATCGTAGACGAAGTTCGCAGTCAATATAGAAAATATATCCATAATCTTTTTTTGAAAATAATATTGAAGTTGAAATTGAGTTAGTAAAAAAGATGTCAAGTTTGATTGGTTAGATATCTTAAATGCATGATGCAATTTGAAAAAAAAAGTTTGAATGATGAAATTTTTTTTTTGATGAATTGATAAAAAGGGTTAGCATTTTGAAAATAGTAAATAAATAGCTATTTTCTTATTATTAGGAAAATATTAAATATTTTCAAAAATAGTCAAATATTTATTTATCACCATGATTGTTTTATGACAAAATGCAAAAATTATTTTAATGCAAAATGATAAAAAATGATATGAGAAGAAAATTAGTAATTATATAAAATATATTAAATAAAATAAAACAAATAAATAAATTAAATAAAACAAAAAATTAAATAAATAATTTAATTAAAAATAGGAGGGGTGCATTTTCCATTAGCGTAGTAATTCTAGGGAGTATGGATATCAAGGGCTTAAGCCCAGTAACAAAATTGAAGCCCAAGGTGCCAGGGGGGATGGCTTTACACTGAGGGAGTAACCTGGGGGTGTTGATAGAAATGGGCTTGAGCCCATATAACTTGTTGGATCCACTAGCCAGAGTATGAGGAAGTGTATGGTGTTATGGTGCATTAGCGAGATCAGAGCCATCTGATTCAGACCAAAGGGCCACCAGAGGTTAACTCTGGAGCGTTGATCTGAAGTATGACTAACAAACGGTTGGGATCGTTCATTAAACAAGGGAGCGTGCTAAGCATGGGAATACATAGCGAAAGAGGGGTTATATCTTCCCTTTCCTTTCATTTTCTTCATTTTCCTTTCTTTGTCTCTCTCTCTCTCTAACCCCTTTTCTCACACTAAAACAAAATTCTAGAGAGAGATGCTCTCCCATCTCTCTAGAATTCCGACAATCAGAAATCGCCTTGGACGGTGGTGCTTCCTTGCGCCGCCCTGAGCCATCCTCCAACCACCATACTAACCCAGTTCTCCGGTTGAACTTTAACCGGAAACTTCATCCCAATCCACAAACCTTCATATCTTCATCCCTCACTACCGTGGGTGGACGTGAAGGCCACCGTTTCAGGCGTGAGTTCACCAGGGACTCCACCTAATTCTGGAAAATGCTAAGAACCCTAACAACTTCATCTCTAACCCTTAGAACCCTATGTGTTCTAACCCTAACCCCAGGGTTCCTGCATGAACCCTAACCCAGAAATAAGAACCCTAAACCTAGATACAAGAACCCTAACCCCACTGAAGAACCCTAAACCTAATTTTTTTTCTCCAGAAAACACAAACTAAAACCTCAATCGATTCAACATTCATAAATAAAAACAACAATTAGAATACCCTAATCTAAGTGGATTAGGCTTACTGTCCTAGTAGTGAATCTGGTTGTATAGTTTCCTCTTCTGATTTCTCTTCCTTGCCTCTAATCTCTTTCTCCTTCTTCTCGTAGGTACAGTGGTGGGGCTTAGCTAAAAGAAATTATGGTTCTAATATTCTTTTCTAAATGAAGAGCTTTAGTAATTGGCTAGGGATTCGCAGCAATGAGCAAGAGTTCTCCAAGGGTTTTTTATCGTCCTTAATTTTATTTAGAACTTAGGTTTAAATAGTTTTTAGAATTAGATTCAATTAGGAAATATTTTTTTGATTTGTAGTTATAGGTTTTAGATTAGAGTTGATTGAATCATGTAATTAGATTTGATTAGATTTTGTTGTAAAAATAGAAATTAGGATTTCTGAAACTGTAATGTTCTTGGACGATCTTATGTACTGTATTCCTTCAATCAATAAAAGATTTTGCAATCTTTGATTCTGTTTTAGATTTGATTCAAAAATATTTGCATATTGAGCTTTTAGTTGTTATCTTGGGGACGAAGGGTCCAAGAATAAGGCGCAACAATAGATTTAGGGTTTACACTCTTGTTGACTTAGTCAACAAACAAAAAGTTTAAAAAATAATTAATATAAATAAATAAATTAACAATTTAATGTAATAATAATAATAATAATAATAATAATAATAATAATAAAACACAAAAACAAATAATAATGGTATAAAGGGATAGTAACGCCTATGGTGATCTCAAATCAACCAAAAACAAAATAATAATAAAACTTAACAATAAAAATAGTTTAAAAATAAATGTTGACTTTGGTCAACAAAAAATAAAATTAAACCAACAAAAATCTAAAAACGCCTCTAAAACCTAATGGGCCAATTATTGCATTGTAGCCTAATGAGCCCTTTTACTAAATTTTGAAATACACTCCTCCCCAAGAAAATAAACCATATTATACTTAAACAAAATTTAGAAAAGGTACTTAATGGTTTAGTGAAATATAAGAACTAGTATACAATTAAGCTAATAGCCTTAGCAAAAGAAATTGACTGCTTACACCAATGCGAGCGAATTTGGGGTATGGCAGTTTCCCCTATTTAATTGCGCTTTGATTTAAGGTGCGAGAATACGAAGGTCTCGGACATTTGGATTAGAGGGTTATTAAATAATGGAAGACTCCAAAATTTGACCGGAAGATTTGAAAAATGATAAGCTATGTGATAAACCAAAAAGTAAATAGGCAAAGATGACATAGTTAACTCATCAACGCCTGAGCATGAATCATAAATGACCTAGATATGAAGACGTGGATAACTCGCCAAGACCTAGAAAAAGTAATCGCATATTTCGTGCATTTACCACAACCTAGGGGATAAACAACGCGAGTTTGAAAATAGCAACTCATTGCTGCTTTGAGACTAACGCAACAACTTATATCGCAGTTATTGCATATTTACTACAACCTAGGGAGTAAATACCACAAGTTTGATAGTTACCTTACTAACACTTCGAGACCAATATAATAAGCTATAACGTAGATTTTGCCTATTTATCACAACCTATGGGATAAATAACACAAAGTTTGATAATACATTCTCGCTTTAAGACTAACACAATGAACTATATCGTAGAAAATAGATAACTTATTATTGCTTCGATACTGATGCTACAAGTTATATCACAGACTTTCGTATATCTACTACAGCCTAGGGAGTAAATGATACGGGTTTGAAAATACATAACTCATTGTTGCTTCGATACTAACATAACAAGCTTTATCGCAGATCTTTGCATACCTACCACAACCTAGGGGGTAGATAATACGGGTGTTGAAAATATATTACTAACGCTTCAAGACTAACATAGTAAGTTATATCGTAGACTTACGTATTTATCACGACCTAGAGGATAAATACCACAAGCTTGATAATTCATCGTTACTTGGAGACTAATACAATAAATTATATCGCAGATTTTCGCATACCTACCGCAACCTAGGGGGTAGATAATATGAGTTTGAAAAATAAATAACTTACTAAAGCTTCGAGACTAACATAGTAAGCTATATTGTAAATTTGCGTATTTATCACGATCTAGAGGATAAATATCACAAACTTGATAATTCATTATCGCTTTGAGACTGACGCAATGAACTATATTGCAAATTTTTGCACACCTATCACAACATAGGGGATATATGTCATACCCCAAATTTTCACT